ATTATCTCCAAAGCCTAAAACCAAATTGTGATAAAAAATTGCTTCCAAAAATTACCGTCTGTGTATGTGTGTGTCCGTATACGCTTGCGCAATTAAGATATTCAAATGCCATAAAAAAACAAGAAGTAAAAGTGAGAGAAATTACAAGCGATAATGCCAAAGCTATCCAACAGGCGTGGCAGGGCAAGAGAAAACGAAAGACTGAAAAGAAAAAAAACGAATGAGTGAACTCAAATGAATTTAGTGAGTTGAAAGAAACGAAATCCGCCCCTAAAGCGGTAAGAGACAAAGAGAAATAATAGACAAAAACCGAAAAAATAAAAAGTCAAAAACCCATGAGAGAGAGGTATCTAATTATATAAGAAGAAATGATCAAGAAACAAACAACACGCTCCGTGCACGAAAAAGTGTAAAACAAAACGTAATTGCAATTAGCTTATAGTTACTTACACGGTAGATCTAATTGAGTTACATGTAAGTCATGCGACAGGGGGGACTGGACTTATTAAGTAAATTACAAGAGACTACACCGGCCGCTAGATATTGAGCGGAACCAGAAAAGTCGCCCCTCCATTCAAAATATAGAACATAAACATTTCCCAAAGGTGTGTAGATCCTGTACACCTTCTCAACTGAGACTCGCATCAATGATGTCACACAATTTAGTAGTTCCATGATCAATGTGGACGAGGCACAAATCTAAAGTATTTATTACGTTTCTTCAGTAAATACACAAGAGAGCGTTTTAAGTATCGGCGAAACGAAATTTTGTCTTTTAATTTACACATCTATAAAGACAAGTTAATTAATTGGAGAGTTAACGACACATCAACACAACTCGCCCAATACTAATTTCATTCAATGAGTCTAAAGTAAACACAAAGAAACATAAGCTAAGAGTGTTTTACCAAACTATTGATTCTTGGTAGTTTGAATTATATATTCTTATGTGCGAGAGTGAAATTGTAAAAAAGATTTTGCTTACAATTTTAGGTTGATACATCATTAACAAAAAAACTCAGTGGAAATCTTCAGCAATTGCCCAGTATAAGCATTTAGTGTGGTAGCATTGAATAATGATTTTTACGAGGCGTGTTTTTAAAGTGTACCGTTTTGCGAAAAAGCTTATAAAATTTGTTTTCCAAACAAAAAGATATATTTCATAAAAAAAACTTCTTTAAATTATTTTTATTCATAGATGTCACCCATTATGTCAGACATTTTCGACTTTTCTATGCCTTTATAAGAAAGAAGCGCCAGTGGAAGACTATCTGCTTCTGCAAACACAGTTTGTTGTGAAATTAGTGCTGCGATTGTGAAAAACTCTCACAAAAGCATTCCTTATTGTAAACCAAGCATGTTTCGCGATTTTTCCCTTCAATTAATTAATCCACTTATTATTGACAACAAATGCGCCTACTCCGTGCTTCGTCATGAAAATTGGTTCAATCTATAGTTGAATTGTATCTACCGACATTCTTCATCCTGTCCATGTCTCATTACATTTTCATCATAGATAATGTGAAAATTTCGCGAAGAATTTCAGGAAGCTAACATTCTTTGCATTCAAAAACGGTTGTTCAGAGTGGCTGCCTCACTGCTGCCATCTTTCTATGGAGAGAGGGCATAGAAACGTTGGCGGTCCGCTACGACAAATGTGTAAACAAGCTTTAAAACTACATAGAAAATAATTTAAGAAAGGATTTACATGTAAAAATATATATATTTATTGTTTTGAAAAACAAATTTGTATGAGTTGTTTTCTTCCCAAAAAACCGCTAACTTATTTTAAAAAGACATCTTGTGATTTCGGAATAGCAAATTCACTCTGGTTCAGAAATTACTCTTGTCAGCAGTATTATTTTAGAACCAACTGTTTCAGGGTGTTCTTCGGGGGAATGTCACGAGCTTACGCCCTTTAGATCGCAAATGAGCATCAAAACCATCTCTCTATTCACGATTGTATCAGTCTTCCTTACTTTCTAATATCATCTTTTTTCTTGCATCTTTGTTCTCACTCGTTCTGCATTCCTTTTCCCCTTGCTCTTTTCCCTCTCCCACTCCAATTATAGTCCTGCCAACCCCGAAGTGCCCGTTTCCTTGTTTTTACAAAATTCATTTACTGCCTGCTCGACGTGTAGTAAGTCCTCCAGGGTGATTTAAAAAAATACAAGTGTAATTGAATACGATTGCAGAGTTGATGCACTCGGCTCATTTGATTGCCCTATATTATACATTAACATTGAATATGTCTATTTAAGAGAATGTATTTATTGTATATTGCTGAAATGCTGCAGAAATAAGTATTTAAGGTGTTGGTGTGTTTTGATGACGTATGTATAAGGAAAAATGTGAGTATTTATGGAGGTCTGAATCGGTCTTTAAAGAGTCGAGATTTGATTTAACCGAGGTAATTTTTAAGATTGGCCCAGAATTAAAATGAATTAATGGGAGAAACAATGAAGTAATATTGAAACAAAAAAGGTTTTAAAATTTTATAAAAGTTGCGGATGTTTCTAAAGTTAGTTCGGCCGTAAATTGATTCCGTGGGAGGCTTCTGGCGCCATTTTCTGACGAGCGGGGGCGGCGCGCGCCATGTTGCAGCAACAGCAGCGAGCGCAGCGGCGTGGGCGGGGCGTGGACGCCCGCGGCGGCGCTGGGGTGGACGAGGACCTTGGCGCTGACGCTGCCGCCCGCGCACCCGCGGCCGCCCGCGCCGCGGCCCAGCCCCAGCCCCGCCCGGCCCCGCCCCCGCGCCCCGCGCCCGCCAAGCCCAAGCGGCGCGGGCTGCGGCTCGCCTGCGCGGCGCGGCGCCTCCGATGCGAGCGGCAACGCCTTGGACGGTACGAAACCAGCCACAGCGCTGTCGTGCTACTACCCCTGCCACGGCTCGGAGTCTGATGACCTTACAAATTCTTTTAAAAATGACCTAAAATGTCGCATAAATAAAGGGGAAATTACTTATTTTTTAAAACCCAATTTCCTAAAAAAAATTGAGTACATATGTTTATTTATTCAACGGATTTTACAATTTTAATTAAAATGTATTTATATAAAATTATATATGACGTAAAGGCTTTATTTTAGGATGAAATGTAATCCTTAGCTTCGATCTCTCAACCGTCAGTTTTGACAGGTCGAGGAAGTTACAGAATACGTAACGTGACGTAACGAAACAAAATACGTAAAAATAACAAACATACCGCAAATGTCCAGAAAAATTGTCTAAAAATTGTATTATGTCAAAAAAATACACGAAATGATTCTATAAATATACATTTCTATCACTTATATGACGTGATAAACATTCATTTACAAGTTAGCTTCGTCTAGAATGCACCAATGAAAAAATGACACGTCATCAGAATCCGAGTCCTGCTCATTACATAATTCTAGGATTACCTTGCAGTGCCTCTCACGTGGAGGACCAAGGTTCCAGTCCCACGGTGGGACGATGTTCGACACTACCTACAGACATAGGTGGAATTCAGTTTCAATTTTACTGACTAAACGATCCGTATTGTGCAACTTCAGAGAAAATAATATAAATAAATATTTTCCTTGAACTTTTTTGAATTAAATGCATAAAAATAGATTACGTCACTTTATTATTGATTTATTTAAAGACGAGAGCGGATATAATGTTGAGGATGGTCCAAGATCGCGCCGCATTTTAACATATATGAAAATCGTGCTAGGCGATTGTGTAGATGACATCTATATGTTAATTTTTTATTTAAAATGATATATATTTTACAACGATTTAAAGCAACGCCCAGAAAATGTATTTTTTACGACAGTTGGGGCCGTGAAACTGCTACTGATTGATCAAATTAAATGCCATTTGAAAACCATAAAAGTGCTCTTATGAATCCATAACAGTAATTGTGATACCATGATCACATAAAACCACTTGTGTGAATGCATCAATCATACGTTAACGTGTCATAATAAATTTTTACTCTATTCAGTAGTTTGACGTTATTATGTTTCTGAAAATTTCAATATGGTTGTGTTCACACTTTTCATACCAAACAAACACACGTAATTCCTAGATTGCTAGGTAGCTAGGTCTAATTGACTATCTATCCGGAGGAGAATTCTTGCGACATTCTACTCTGATTGCTATTTTCTATGGTTGCCCGATCAATGGTACGTGAGTGTCGGAGCAGTACGTCAAAAACGGGTCAGGGTCAGCGCTTGACCTCCCTAAAGGCGCGTTCACAAGATGCCTCTTTTCTGTGCGTCACGGGAATAAAGTTGCATGAGTAAATTTGAAAAACGAACGTTCAACATAATACAACACAGCTACCCTAACCACACGGTGCAACGCCGTTCGGCGCTTCAGTTCCGTTTTGTACAATGGATACAGCTTTTTTGCGCGACAATTTCGGAAGCTTATTTTATAATCAGTCGAAAGAAGAGAAAAAGAGGGAGGCATGACACTTAATTGTTTCATTTATGTGTTCAACGCAGGCGCCAAATTGAACGAAAAGACGCATCGTGTGGACGCACCTTAATCCTAGTCTGGTCATCTCCCCATTCACGTACGTGCAGTACACTACCATGCACGTCAGTAGCTTATTCCCGATTTAAATTTCTTGATCGCTGTTGAATTAGGAGAGGGGACACTCCTATCCAATTAGGAGCTTCAACGTGTTTAAATTGAAACTCTCGATTGAATAACGGTGTCTTCTCCCCTAACTCACCAGCGACCAAGAAATTTAAATCGTAGAAAAGAGCTAGTTCCGGTTGGAACAGTGGCTCGTTGGCGGAAATACGTCGAAGGGGAAACCCTATATTCCAATAAGTGCTGATCCGGATCACACGTTATTGCCTGGAAGTTACTTCACCACTTCCCCTTCCGGGATATATCACGCACCATGCTTACGGGACAAATGAGCTGCCTGGCAACACAAAATAATCAATCCCTCTACCGTCCAGTTCCGGCCCCCGAGGCCGACCCGCTGCAACCCAAGCGGCGGCCGAGCTTCCTGGAGCGCGTGCTGACGTCGGTGCGGGGCGGGTCCGGGGGCGGGTCGCGGGCGGCCAGCCCGGCGCCCGCGCGCGCCGCCACGGCCGCCTCGTCGTCGCCCTCGCCCACGCCCACGCCCACGCCCACGTCCACGCCCGCCCCGGGCGCGGCCGCCGGCGCCGCAGCGGCGCCCCGCTGCCACGACGACAGCGACCCCGAGTACGACTCGGTGCCCGTGTCCGACGTCACCGCCCCCGGCCTGGCGCCCGCGCAGGACGACGACGACGAGGTGAGTCAGCGCCTGAGCTTTGCCCTTCCGTGCACTCGCGAGAGTAAAAAGGAAAGCGTTGGAAAATTCTTTAAAGAATTCATCTTCCGTGTTCGTCTTAAAAATCGTTTACATTTAGTTTAATGCTTCTTATATTAAGAAAAGGACGTAAACGGAATGTTTAAATGTATTTGGCACTTGAGATTCAGATTAATCCGGCTTATGCCAGCTAGCGGTGTTCCAAAAACAGTGTACTCTTTCATATTTTAAATTGTGCAAAGCAATGGTCTTCCAACGTGGAAACGAAATCGGGTCTTCTGCTTCACGCCCAGCTGCTCTGACCTCTTGTAGCTTAGTAGTCAACAGAAGCTCGAGAGAATACTAACGCTTCGATCAGAATATTAAGACGTGCTGAATTTCGTAAATTGAACTCTTTATGTTTGTTAAAAATAAAGCAACACATATTTTAGAACTGGAAACAGAGCCTCCTTCTTTTATTTTTCATCTCTTTCGTAAAACTGACATATAGAGATATTGTTTCCAATGATCTTTTCCACAATGAAAAGATTGCCTGACCATGAGGAAATTACACTGTGTCAGGTCGAGAGAATGTGCCAGAACTACGAACTAATTTACAAATGCTAAAAAATAGGAAAGGATTGTTTACATAGGGCTGTGTTTAACAACCTTTACGTGAGATTATCAGAGGAAATCAAAAGTCACGACAACATTGAAGGAAGTTGTAAATATAACGTGAGTTTCCAAACAACTTAGTTTCCCCACACCTGAATTGACTGTCGGAATGATACGTATTCTTTCACATTCGAATCTACAACATAAGACTTCAAAAGAAATTACTATGTATACGCAACTTCATTAAAGAAAACGATTTTTAAATGTTGAGGAAAGGTGGATCTTGTGAGGAAATATTAGTTTTATATTTAAAATGAAGCGACTTGTAACAAAAACTGCCTTCATTTCGATTCGACACTCGCACAACACTGAAGTACTCGTACGGCACTGTCAGTCAAATATAAATTTTTAACGATATAAAATGTGTGTCTGAAGATCCTACTACTGAATGCATTTGTCACTCAAATTTAAGGAATTGTTCTCAATAAACGATTTGAAAAATGAGAAATTTCTAAAGGGGGTTTCTTTGCGTAATTTAATCATTAAACCAGTGGCGTAACATTCGGTCCCGTAATGCGGACGGGCCCGGGTAAAAGAGGGCCAAGTTTTAGGAGATATTTTTTTTAAATTTACTAATACTTCTTGTGTTCGCTATACTACTTTTATGAAGGGGGCCCGTATAAAAAATTTGCGAGTGGGCCCGCACTCATTTCGTTACGCTACTGCATTAAACATTTTACTTTTACAGTCGTAGCACATAGTATCTACATAGTCTCCAGAGGATACTACGTACGTAGTAGCACATTGTATCCATAGGATTGTTCTTAGTTTTCTAGAAGTTACGAACTTATACATTTATTTAATCCCATCTCGATAGCTAAGCATTTACTAGGAGACACACTTTCTGTGTCATATTTACGAAAAGAGTTAAATGGCAAACGGAGGTCACCAAATATTAAATCCTATCGTCCTGCTGCGAAGGGTAAAAAAACAGCCATGTACAGGAGACAACCACAACGCCAGAACGCATTTACGAGGCTCATCCGTCGGCGAGCGGGCACCACGCCGCGGCCGAGTGGAGATCGAATGAGGTCGAAGAGCTCGTCCGCTCGCTGAATTTGAAGGGCTCATTCTGCCAATCGACCGCTCACAGAGGACAATGAATTCCAATGAAGGACTCCGGCGCGCTCTCAATGACCTATCTCACTCGAGTGTTAGGAATTTCCTCCGCTGCGTCACGGTTTTCTGTACGTGATCATGAAATATGCAGGGTGGGCAGGAAGAAAGGGAGGGCAGAGCTAACACAGACTGCCGACCCACAGTTCCCATCGGGGCGTTCGTTTCACTGTCGACGCAAGAAGGATTGTGTGTCTCTACTATTCAAGAAGGTCGAGAGGAGGTTCAGAAGTATAAGAATGAACCAACAGAAGGTGAGTGTAGCAATACGATAAATACAATAGCCCAGTAATTTATTAAAGGACGAGAGAGTATTGTTTAGAAGCATGATCCGGAATAAAATAGATTAATTTCATTTTCTTTTGTCGCCGGTATTCTGTTTGATGCAGTTCATTTCGGTACACCTATTTCCAAAGAATGGAATCAAATAGGGAAGAAATTGGCAAAATTAAAACAGGTAGAGAATATGCACATGACGTTTAATTAGAGAGAGACATGCACGTATATTCTCATACATTGTTCGCTTCAATGCCTTGTTTAACAAAGACCCACAGAAGTGTGGGTTAATAACAAAAAAGGAAAGAAAATTAATACGAAGTAAATTTCGAAGGAAAATATAGTGAAACAGTACTTCCTGAATATTCGGTTATTGGAATATTAAAAAAAAGCAATATATGATATTTAAAGTTAAAGCACGTTTGAAATACACTCATTAAATAAAAGATGACTTGTAATTTTACAAAGAAAAATAACTACAATAATTTATAATAAAATAATATAATAATATTATTATGGTATTTCTATCACACGACACCATTTAAACAATTTTTCGTTTCTTCCTGCAATATCCTTCAAGTAATTTCCATACTTATACCGATTACTACTCTGCTAACACGAATAGAGGACAACCCTGCACAGCGGGCACCCACGTCTTCACCGTACGTTCCTACGTCTGTACGCGCAAGTGGGGAGGGTGGGCGCTGTAGAGGCGTGCTGTGGCGATCGCGACTGCGAGGCTCCGCGCCGCATCGAGGACTGCGTTATCTGGCCGCCGCCTGGCCGCCGC